GTGAAAGAAAAATTTATAAGGTTTGTTGTGCAAATTATTATTGAGAGATCTAGCTTGCAAATATGTAAGGTGAGTTTTACTGAGGCCTAGTACGTTGAGATTGAAACTGATAAAAAATTGTTCAATTTGTTGAAGTCTATTTGAAGAAACACAGCTTTGAACGTTATGTGTGGTGATTGAGAGTAAATCGGGATTGTTAATGATAGAGAAGAAATTTGTATTTGTAGAATAATTAATATTAGTAGGAATCGTATGGGATGATCTATTAAAATTTTTGTTTAGAGGTGTATACTCATTGAGAAGTATTATTTGCTTGAATAATTGGGCCGATAGTGACAATCAAGTTTCTCATATCATTTTTAATTTTATTAACAAATGATTTGACAACACCAATTCTTTAAAGGTAGATTGAGGAATTAGTATTGGGGACAGATGATTCATTAGAAATGCTAGGTGTTTGGTTTTCTTATGTCAGTAGAGAAGTAGTGTCTTCGAACATAAAATATTCGTCATGTGAAGGAAATACGTAATTTGGATCAGTAGCATGTTTGATATTGTATTCAATGTTATACATACATTCGAGACGGTTGAAGCTAAATCTGATGTCCTCTTCATTTTTTTTGGAGTTCTATTAAATCATTTTTAATGAAAACAATTTCATCATTGATTGTGAGAAGCTTATTTTCGATATTGTTCAGTCTTTCCTGAACGATTTTTAACGCATCAATAAGGTTAGGTGAAACTGTGGTAGGTGATTTATCATCATTCTTAAGAGGAGTATTTTTAAGGGCATTGATATATGGTGTAGTATCTTTGAAATTGTTATAGGTATTGTGACGTGTTAGATGATAAGGCTCTGGCTTGAAACAATTATAGAGCGGTCTGTAAGGATTTGCTAGTTTGCGGTTGGTACAATCCTTGATTTCATGGCCAGGAGCACTACAGCTACAACAATGTTTGGTTGACAGTTCCATCCAGTAAAGTGTTTTTCCCTTTAAATTTCTGAGACTGCGCCGCCGCAGCATCAAGGTCTTTAAGAGATGCGAAATTAATAAATGCATAGGGTCTAAGTTTGTATTGTTGGTCACGTGGGATGAAGCATGTTTTGGCTTTGATGTGTGTGAGGAAATCTCCTAATTGTTGTTGATTGGTATTGAAAGGAAGGCCAGTTAGTTTTAGTTCAAATTGCTGTCTCAAAGCGATTTGCATGGAATCGAGATCAGTCGGTTCAGTTCTGAGCGCAGTATCAAGAAATTTAATGGACCAAAAGTCATTGTAGAAAGGTTTGATTATGTAAGTGTTTTCGAAAACAATGAAGGCGGTTTTCCAGGGATCACAGATGATCATTGAGAATCTGGTGATCATACCATATCTGGAGAAAAATTACAAAGTACATCAGATTTGATAAACAAGGGAATATCTGAAACCTTAAAGGTCCTTCCCTTTTCGGCATCTTATTTGAGCTTTTTTGCTGCAGGGTCAGCAATAGTAAATATGGAGTTATGTTGTATTTCTTGCACTTTTGTGATAGCATGTGTAAGCTCTTCCATTGATTGAAAATAGACTGAAAACTTTCTAAATTTGGAAATGTAGGTGGATCCTTGGTAACCATTGAAACGGACGAATAAGGAATTTATGAACATGCATTTTTCAACTATAGTTTTACCTTTTATGTCTGTCGCATTATCTGTCACGAAAAATCGCATAGGAGCAGTAATAATGTTGAACGAAACCCCCTGAATTTCTTGGTCACGTTTTTTTTCGTTTTGCTCAATTTCTTCAGACCAAGTTTGTTTTTGTTTGTTTTTGGTATCAATAGGGAGAATATAGTCAAAGCCCGTATCATTGAACATGTTATCCTTATTGTTATTAGCGTGTATAGAGTTATTTGTTATTTGCTTTGAAATAATAGGTGAAGGAGGAGTAAAATTAAAAGTGGTATCAACATCCATCTTTGAGGGCACTTTAGGAAAGGAAACATTGTTGTCTGTATTATTAGTGATTTTTTCAGAAAGAGTTTCGTTGTTACTTTTAGACATAATGTTGAGGATAAGCCACTACTTTCTAATTCTTTGCGTAAATTAGGAGCGGTGTTTGCAGTTGTAGTGAGTAGAATTAGGAATCTATCAAAAGCTAATACTATTACTAGTCAAGCATTAAGGCATAGCACTGACAATTATACTGCTCTATCTGATAGATATACTATAGTCGATTTTTGTAAAAGAAGGCAACTTTATAATCAGGCAGAGGTATTTGAGTTCTTTGATGAAAACTGATCACATAGATGGGTTAAAGGATGTGTTTATATAGTAAACTCAGGATATCATTTATTAATTTATTTTTATTCGAAGCAAGATATAGCATATATAAAATATCAGGAAAATGGTAACCAATCAAAAGCATTCATCTAATAATACAGATATCGAGCAGAAAGTTATTAGACATACAGAGAAAATAGCCAAATTTCTTAGACATGAGCAAAATGCAAAAGTGTATAATGCGCTTTTTGGTAAAAATATAGCACTAAAGAAATAATTATAAGATTATTATTCCTAACCAAATACTTTAGAAAGGAGGTAAAAAGATTGGAGAAAGATGTGAGATCCTTAAAAGACGAATTAAAAGATTTAGATGAATGTGTGGATAGGGAAACTGTGATCGACTTAATACAAGAAATAGCTTTCTTGCTAAAGATCAAAAAATGTAAAGATTCCTCCCATTCATCTGAGTCTTCTGAAGATTCTGATTTAGTTGAGATAAATCAGGTAAGAGATAAAAAGATCGTTCCTTATAAGCACCAGATAATATAAAACTGGCTCATTCTTTATTACTACAATTTTCCAGATTTTATGAATAGAAGGTGAGTATGTGGGATCGGTGGTCCTCTTTTGATTCTCCATTCATCCTTCCCATTCTGCAATAGCAAGAAGATATCTAACAGTATCACGTTTCTTTAACGTTATTTCATCTTTTCCAACTGTACGCTTATATTTTGTGGATGGTCTTGATTCTACTTTTTCTAACATGATAGCTTTTAAAGGTGCAAAATCACATTTTTTAGTCTCTAGTTCTCGAATGAGACGTGTAAAATAATTATTTAGATAATTAATAACTATAGGCAAATGTCTAACCCATGCTTTTATTAATTTCGAATTGGAATATATAGATTCAACAGCATCCTGGATTTTATAGAGTATTCTCCATAATAAAATGCCAATCATAGTCAGAATCATTAAATCCAACTTGAATGTCAGGGGAAAATGCTCGCCAGCAGAGAGCGAAAGCTTTTAGCAAATTTACTTGATTTTCACATATGATTGTAACCCATCGTGGGTCTGGTGCAGTTTCAACACCAACAATACAGATTTGTTTTAATAGTTTTGGATCATCTTTACAATGTAATGTCATACCAATCATAAAGACCTTGTTTTTCTGTTCAAGAACTTCTGCAAATTCTTCCATTTGTGAGGCATATGTTTCTATATCCCATGTAAGGATAAGAGTGCGATCTCGTAAGAAAGCTGAAATGGGAAATCGGTCACTTAATGTTGTGAAATCCTCTAGTGAACAGAAATCTTTTATAGATACGAAGAACTCATGCAGACAAAGTGGGTTAGTCTGCTCACTTTTCTTACGTATATATTTGTTTATTGTAGACCATCTAGAGAGTTGGATTCCATTTTCTCGAGCTACCTTTCGGTAGAATGAGTATAAATAATCTGAAGCAGTTTCAAAATTATTTTCTTGGATAGCTTGGATGGCTTTCTTTCTCTCTCCAGTACCATTCGTATAAA